GAGTCGCGGCATTCCTGCGATTCATCTTCGCAGCACGACTTGGCAATTACTTTTGCCATTACACCTTGTACGGACTGTACCAAAACGAGATGATACCAGCGGCCTTGGAAACCCTCGTAGCCCAACTTGGCACACCGATGAGAAGTGTTATCCTCGCCGTCTGGATGCGCGACTTGCTGTATACCCACGAACGGTATGCGACAAAGTATGCCTTTCGTGAGGATCACGTAGATCCCAGCGATGACGCGACTCGGTTGATCAGCTGGTACCGCGAGAAGAAGACTTTGCCTAGTGGATTCAACTCGTCACCCTACGAACCTTGGATGTCGGACGACATTGCACCCGGTGCACAACCATATGCGCTGAGGCTCCGTAAACAAGCGGCCAAGGAATCGAGGAAGGGCAAAGCAGACCGCTCCGGCCAGGAGACGGACGAGACCGACGAGACGTCTCAACGGAGTGGCCCGGCAACTTGCAGACCCAAGGATCCAAACATCCGGCCACATGACCGACCTCGCCCGGACGACGAAGAAGATGAAGACTACTTCGGCGGCGACAAACCCGTCGAAGTCCCACTCAGTTGAGATCGAGTTCCCACATTGGAACTCGGTCCCCCACTTGGAACAGCCGAGGGGACTCAACGCCGAGAAACGGCATGGTCGAGAATCGACCTGACTGAGAAACAGTCTAGCTGAGAAACAGCACCGTCGAGAAACGACTTCGGAATGGACATTTTTCTTCAGTTCTTTTCACAGAAATCGACCAACCATGTACGCGGCGGACGTCAACGACGACTTTGCCAGAAAGCTGACTACACAAGTCAGCCGGATTCTTCGGTTTGACCCGGACACGAGTGGTTAGACCTGACAAGCCGGCTTCTTCCACCGTTCCGGTACGTCTTCCGAGGAATCCCCTGGATAGAACTGAGCAACCGACCTCAGTTCCCCGGTAAGGCATATCTGCTAACATAGCAGATCGTCAACCACGTTCTGCGACCATCGGAGCCAACAGAAGCCCCAACCCGCGTTACATGGAGCCGACCGATAGTTACATGGTACAGATCACGCCATTAACTACGACCGGCTAGGAAGATTACTCCGGCCAACCGACTCCGGAGCATAGACCGAGAGGATTACGCTAACATGGCGCTGAATACGTCGCTGCGTGTTCACCGCCATGTTTGCCGAGCACCCGTGGCCAACCTCGGAACCGGGTAGCCGAGCAGCCTTCACCAGTGTAAGACGCGGAAATCCCTCGGCCGAATGCCAACAGTGCAGGAACACTCGGATTTCTCTTTACGTACTCAAGCCGACCACAAAGGTCGACTTTGTACTTCGCCCATAACTTGGAGACATTACGGACACAGCTGCGTCAGCCGACCACACAGGCCGGTTGTGCAAACCGACCACACAGGTCGGCTTTGGAAACGATAGCCAGAACGACTACAGGAAATCCATATCATGGCCGACCACACAGGTCGACCATGGCGACCAACAAGAGTCGACCAAGAAGAATGGACGGAAGCCAGGAGTGGTTACGTGGCAACTTCACCGGATTCTCCGGTTGAACCCAGACCTACAGGAACTCAACTAGGAACCTGTACCCGGAGTCCAACCGAAGTCTCCCCCGGAGGATATCGGGTAAACCAGCCGATTCACCGGTGACCACGACTACGCGCGTCTTGAACGTGCAGCCATTACCTGAAGAGGAACAGCGACGGTGATTTGGCCACCATACCAACGACTCCGCCGCGACCTGCTTCCCCATGTCTCCAATGGAACATCCTAGGCAGATCGGATTAGAACATCCGACCTGCACCCCTTCACCGAACCCCGCTGGCGACGACCGCCTGCCCGAACACCAACGGCCAGTCGGCCTTCGTCAGCGGCAGAGGAACCTTCCCCGATGACGACGACCACTTGCCCGCAACAGTACCGGCCAATTGGCCAGCGTTATCGGCAAAGAAAAATTTCCCCGCGGACGTGAGTGGCCTACCCCCAACAGAAGCGGCTAGGCGTCTCAGGTTCACGGCACAACAAAACGGAAGAATCAGATCTGACGACCTCAGGGACTTGCATGTGCATGAGGTTTAAACAGCTCGTCAACTGGGGCCACAAAGACCCTATGTTGTAGGCGAGCATACTTGCATGATGAAGTCACTCGGCCAACAGACGCCGGAAGAAATTGTGACCGCGCGGGATTCGGCCGCCCACAGGACCAGCCGACAGTAGCTCGGATCCGACCCAGAGTTCTTGTTAGGAATTACAGGAAGAACGGAGTTGTGCTGCCGAACATCCTTCTGCCAGTCCAACACTGACCGAAGGATGTCCGAACAACGGGGACCCGGTCAACTGTAGCCGGACGCACAGGACTCCTGACAGAAGGTCGACTTGATGAACGCCGACTAGCCCCACATTGGGCGTAACGGTATAAGTCGCCTTAACCGACCTCAAAACGCAGATCGGAAGTGACCTAACAGAGGTCGGAAGCACACGATAACAAGTCGGAAAGAGTGATCGGAAGTTGGAAACCGACCTTCCAGCGGAAAAATTTAGCTTTTTGGCGGGTGAACACAAAGTTCATCCGACCTTGAGGAAGTCAGACATAGCCGACCTTGGATGACGCATAACCGACCCCGAATGGAAGTCGGTAGTCACCGGATAGAAGTCGGAAGGATGCCACAACAAGTCGGCAAAGGCGTTTTGAGGCTGAGAACCGACCTTCCAACGGAAGAATCCGACCTTCGGACGGACGAACACACAGTTCATCCGACCTTCCGAAGCCAACCATAACCGACTATAAGTCGGAAGTCGGAAACTCAGTCAATACGACGGAAGAAGAGTGACAGCTGTCTGCGGTGGACGAATTCGACTTGAAGGAACTTGTTTAGCCCCACATGGGCATGTTATTACAGGTTAACCATAGTCGACCACCGACGGATAGGATGACCGACCTTGACTACAGGTCGGATGGGATTGCCGACCTCGACAGAAGGTCGGATAACAACGGAACATATTGGACGGAAGTCGACTTGACACTTCCGCCGAAGAAACCTATGATTTCCGATCGGACCTTCGAGCCAGTTCGACTCGGATTACTCCAAACCAGGCTCGTGGTAGCAGATTGAACGGTTGTAACCGACCACTTTCGAACGGAACTGCTGTACATGACGACCACACAGGCCGCATGATTTACATACAGCTTTTTCCGACCTGAACTTCAGGAATTCGGGACATAGCCGAATTTCCCCAGCCGCCGGTCGACTTACCGGTAGGCCGACCTTGGTCAAAACCGACCTCGGTCCTATTCCCCATTCAGAGAGGATGCTTCGGCATTTGCAACTGCAACAGTGCCTCTCTATCCCTGACGGACGGACACGGGTCGGAAGTAAGTGTTTAACCGTGCTTATCCGACCTCGGTGAGTGTAACCGGTCACGACGGGTAACTCGGGAACTGATGCCCCGGACCCAACTTACCGGATGAAAAGTGGACAGGAGACCCCGTGGAGACTCAACTGCCCCGTGGACGTCATCCTAGTCGGAATAGGACCCCCGGACAGATTTTTGCATTTTTTTTTAGCATTTCTCCTAACAAACGGAATTGTATTTTTCTAGTTAGATCTCTTTAACAGATCTGTTTTGTAACCCCTTTTGCTCACTGGAATTGTGATTAAACTTTATTTCATACTTTCTTTCGCGCTGCATAAACTTTCATTACATTTTCTTTCACATTGTTCTCCGATGCCAACAGAAGCAAGAAGCCAGCCAACAGAAGCATCACCGGTCCAACGAAACGCCCGAGCGGCTTCCGGATTTTTCGGCCGTGAGTGGTTTCCACTCATGGGTTCGGAAGTGAAGAAGGGACGGTCGACCAGACACCGGACTCCCACTGCCAGAGGACGCGTACCAGCGACCCCACATTGGGTCCGACTGGAGAGTTGTGCGGTACTGGTGCGGTACTGAGTCGGAGCATCCTTCGCAGGAGCTCGGATTCCCGCCCAGAGGCATGTCAGAGGCACATGACTGCGCCTGGTGCATACGGCCCACCATGGACGTATTTGCACTCATGCTTGCCATATCGCCTCTCTCGCTGTACGTACGTGTGCTGCTGCACTGTACTCGTATCCGCTGAAGCGGATATACGCAGCGCACACACTGAGCATACTTGCTCTCTCGTCCCTCTTTCGCAGTATGACTCAGCGTTCATACGCTCGCGTTGGATCGAGTCCAGTCTGCGCATCAACACACAGCTGATGGCACACAGCACGTGCTTGCCGCCAGTTGCTTCTTTCACGCCTTGACGGACGCTCAAGAGCCTTTTTCAGCATACACTTGCTTAGCCATCAGTGCTTTGTTTTGCTTTCCTGCTATTACGCAGCATTGCTCCCCTTTATTTGTCAATAAAGCATCACTCGTTATCTCCTCGTGCTTGTCTGTTACAGTATTAATTCTTTAAGACTCAGTAACGATTTTACCAGTAAACAAACAGTAGTAAACAGTAAACAAATAGTAAACAACTCGGTAAACAATTCTTGGTTTGCCGCTTCGCTTCGGTCTTCTAGTGCCAGACAACAGTACAGTTTCCTAGAGATTTGAATACCTTCTTATCTCCGGCAGCAGTTATGAAACGAATTTCAAAATTTTCATTTTTTATTCGTCATATTTTGCAGTCAGCAGTCGGATGTTGCGCGCGCACAGTTTTCAGAAGATTGTACACTCATACAGCTGCTGTGCAGTTTGCATGGTGTAGTATTCAGCTGTTGTATCGCATATTACACTTGTATTTGAGTAAGTTACTAAATGTCACCATTTAAAATCCCATGCTAGATTGTCATCCTAGCCGAAATGGGCTGCCAGCTATGCTTCGAATTAAATTAAATTAAATTAAATTTAAATCACTACTCTAGGAGATAGGACATTCCAAACTAAACAGCTTTCATTCTGGTCCGGCCCGTCTTTAACTAGCCACTAGCTAGAATTTGCACAACTAAACTTATCTACCTTTTGAAAGGAACTTTGCAGCCAACGTTTTAAGGCTTTTCTTTTTTTTCCTCTTGATCCCCAAATGAGCCAACCGATGGGTGTGCAGGTGCGCTGACTGGATGAAACCTTTCTTGCAGATCCCGCAGACCCACTTGCGGATATCCTGGTGTGAATCCATGTGGGCATTTAGCGTATTTGATTGGGCAAATTTCTTCGGACAAAGTCCACAACTAACATGCATAAAAATATCACACCATGTTTACGTGGCCATCTTTTGTAACATAAATGCCTGGATACGAAGCCCTAGCCAAGCATTGTATAAGCTCTTGTTGCTTACCAAAAAGGTTTCTCTCCTGTATGAACTCTGTGGTGAACCTTAAGAACCTTTTTACTGGAATACCAGTTACCACACACGGGACACTGCTGCGGCATTGCTTTCTTTTTTCCTACCGCTGGTTTCCGCTCCAAGGTCTTTGCAGTGCCATGCTGATCGTTTTGTCCCGCGTACTGCACAGGTGACGTTGTCGCCGGTCGCCTATGGCGGATTAAAGCGATATATGTATGGACGATTTCATACCACTCCAAAAAACGACCCATTATTTTTCGATATGTGTTCCTAGGGTTCCCGCGAATACCCCCAGTAATCGTTCGTGTTTTGCCAGTATTCCGACGTATCCGCTCCATATCCGGTATGTGTCTCTCTGCCACAGGCGCTGCATTCCGTGTATTCCGCCAGTATTCTTCGAAAAACTAAGAAAACCAAGAAAAATTTTAAAAACATAATAAAACCTAAGAAAAGCTAAAATATCGGAGGAATACGGAAGAATAGGCAGAGGACGATGAATACCGTTGGAATACGCGGAATATAGGGCCCGATGCAGAGAAACACTTAAGAGATACGGAGCGGATAAGACGGAACACAGGCAGAACGTGAAAGAGTACTGGCGGAATACGCGGGAATACTAAGAATACGTAGCGGAAAATGATAGGTCGAATTTTTGGAGTGGTACGAAACGAGCCATAAGTGCTTAAAGCAGCGTCCCGTATTATCTTTTCCACCCAAAATGCTGTAGTTTTAGCGCGTCTTCTTGTCGCATGAAGAGACAAGCCCTCCTTAAACAGTTTCACCACCATTGATCGTACCACGTCGTACCGTTTTTGTTTACGTTCACGGAAGGTTCTCCCTGCTGCGCTCAGCAGCTGCCTGATATAGTAGCCGGAAACATTCGTCTTCTGGATAATATAACAGCAGGTGTGACCTTTGTCGAATAAATCCACAATTTCCTGTTTGTCTTCCGGGGTTAGGTTGTCGGGGTCCCGCATCTTGCCGGTTTCTTTTTCTTTCTCCGGTACGTCCTGAGATCTCTGGATACTGGATCCCCAGTACGAGCGCTCAAGCATGGAACGAACAGTTAAGAGGCAGACTTGTACAGTCGTTGATGCGTGGGCGCCGTCGTTGACACTGGTGTTCCTCTTAATAAACCTCCCCCTTCTCCCAGCTGCGTACAACACTTGCTTAATGTTGTAGCGGGACATGCTGGCCTTGCGCATAATGTAGGACTCACTGTAACCTTCATCGAATAGATCCACAATTTCTTGCTTTTCTTCCGCTGTGAGCTCGCATACTTGGCGCTTTATGACACTCGCCATTTCGTTGGTTGGCTGGTCCCGAGAGTTTCGGATGCTAGAGGCTGAATACCCGGGAGAAAACGAAGGCGGGATGAGTTCTGAACCGTCCTCGGCATCCAAACGCTGGTTTCTTCTTTGCTCCGAATTTGGCTGCCTCTGAACTAGGTCGGTTTGCATGTTTCGAAAGAAATTAGTGGTGGTTGCCGTGCCAGTATAGATAAATATCCACCCTTCGCACCATCATGCACATTGATCGTACGGTAAATCTGGTACAAACCGGACTCCCAAGTATTTAAATGTGATTTTCTCCTCGACTGTTTTTAGATAAACCTCCACTGGATTACATTTCCTAAACTTTTCGATTCAGACCTAGAAAAAAGAAAACCTGTTCATTAATAGCCTGGTAAAGCAAACTGATATAGCTGCCGCACAGGAAATTCATACGATACGAGGCATTTAAACTTTACGTTGAAATTTTGACCTTTGCGTTGAGTACTTTACTGGTTGTTTCTTTTAACGGTGTGTAATGATTTCTTGCCAGTTTAATATCCACCATTTTTTCGTCTGCTGACAAAAACCGGCCGGGTGACTTTCCCTATTTTGCTCAAGTCTGTCGTGATGTTGTCGCAGGGCTACGTGAAACGTGATCACCCACTTTCTGGCTTCTGCTGAAAAGTGATACGCTACGCTATGATAAGTGAATGGACGACAACAATTATTTTTTTGCCGAGCCGTATCGCTGTCGGCTTTTATTTTGGTGGATTCAGGGAAGTTTGCTCATTTCTGAGTACTTAAAAGTTTTAAAATCGGGTCACCCGCGTTTTGGAGTTATTTGCGTGCGGACGTAAGGATTTATGATTTAAACCACACCACGCGAGCACTGTCTCGTGATCGACCGGAAGCGAGGACACCGGAATGTTCTTGCCACCCGTACAACAGGTCATAATTGCGAACTTCTCGCGATCGCATTCGCTGCGGAACTCATTAGCACAAAAAACTGAAGATGCTAAGTTTAGTATCAAAAAAATGTGGCGCCTTTGGCTGCCAGTGGTGGCAAAATTATAAGCAATAAATGGCACGGTAATGGCAACAGCCAGAAGACGTATGATAAGGAGTGGCAATAGTCAAAGGAGTTGTTTATTTTATTAAAAAAACGAGGACAACAATCAAAAAGTGGTGCAGGAGGGTGACGAAAAGCCATTTCTTACCTTTATGCGATTAGCAGTGGATATTTGTGATTTGCAATTTGGCGCAACGAAAGCAAAAGCTTCCATTTGGATAATGCTGCCATAACAAGAGAAATATTCGAGGTGTTCAGAAATAGCTCCGAATCAAGGATTAAAAACAATCATCGGTATCTGGCTGGTTATGATCTTCATTATCATCTCTCTCATCATCGCTGTCTGGTCCGTCCTAGAGTAATTCTTACATTTTCAAAAAATCATTATCTTTCCTTCTTCAGAATGACGCTGGTTACATGCACCGATTCAGCAACATATCTGTACAGTATAGATCAGTTTTTCGGCAACACCCCCAGAAATAAACTTCTTATACTACCATGTATAATTACTACTTCAATCAGTATTTCTGACGGAGTATTTATAGGTTGAAGGCAACACGTGATCGATAAAACATGCTCGAGACGTGAAAAAGGAAAACTAAGAGTTCGGTTGGGTGCTTCTACATACAGAGTATGTTACAGCTTACAAGGTCAGCACGGTGACTGCGGGCTAGCTACAGTTGTAAGCGGTCATTAATCGCTATCTACAATACTAGCACATTCACAATTTGGCAACGCAACCCCATTACTTCAAGTACGGAAAATTTTAATGTTTTATAGAAGTACTTGTTCCGGCATCGTTGCACCACAGGGTGCATGTAAACCTCCTTACAAACGTACAAACTCTATAGACACATAGTTATTGCTCTATGGCGTAACCTGTTGAGCCGGTTATTTCCGTACATGCATATTAGTTTGTTATAATCTTACCCATACTAATAATTGTCGAAGAACCGAAACTGCTTTTTACGGCTGCAGTTCTCAGTGATTCCGCGTATTCATATAGATATATCAAAATGCGCGTTACGTCGGTCCTGATATGTACACAAAAGTGTTATCGCAGTTGCCGAACAAATTACTTTTGATTCCTTTTTTATAGTAATTTTTATAGTAAAATTAAACAGGAAAAACAGGTTTCACACAGGTCAAGCGGGGTGCCACAAGGCCATTCCAATTTTTTCCCATTCCGACGGCTGCAGACTGCCATTAATTCTGTATATGTATATTGCTTTCCCATGTGACTTTCAGAAATTTCGGGTCCGGTTCTGTTTACGAGTAATTCTTGTCATTCTGTGCATGTTTTCCATTCATTCCCATAACTTTTGATATAAAAAAGTGTTAAATGGGGAAAAATGGGATCCATATTAGTCTATCCCCGTCTAAAAGTGCCGGCAAACTGAGACGCACCCGCTGCTGCGCTTAAGGGAAGTGGCCCAGTATATGGTGCCAAAGTCGTGTACATGCAAGAAAACTTTCACTTTCGCGGACTCCCAAAGACATTTTTGTTTCGGTTTATGACATTCTATACAGAGTGTAGCCAGAAGATTTGTATACACTGGCGTGAAAACCATTTGTGCGCGCAACATCCGGTTCGGGAGTTATGACTGTTAGAAAATTCCAAAAAGTTTAAATGCATTCAGGTGTACCAAAAGTCTCATTATGAAGCGATCTCCTCAAATTTTGCTCGAAAACGCACGTAATCACGAAGAAAGTTTTTACACCGATTCACTATTCTAGCATGTTTTTCACATTTTAATTAATAAATTTTGAAATTCATTTTAAAGTTCGAAAAAATCATGGAAATCTGGATCGGTGTAAAAACGATCTTCATGGACACGCGCATTTACGTGCAAAATTTAAGGGAGATCGCTTCATAACGAGACTTTTGGTACACCTGAATGCATTTAAACTTTTTTGAATTTTCTAACAGTCATAACTCCCGAACCGGATGTTGCGCGCACAAACGGGTTTCACACCAGTGTATACAAATCTTCTGTCTATAGAATGTCATAAACCGAAACAAAAATATGTGTTTGGGCATTGCCGTTGCTCTAGGAGTGCGAGAGGAATGAATGAACATTCCTCTCTGAGTGCGAGAGGAATGAATGAACAGACAGGAATGTTCATTCATTCCTCTCGCACTCCTAGAGCAACGGCAATGGTTTGGGAGTGCGCGAAAGTGAAAGTTCTCATGCATGTGCACAAATTTGACACCATGTATCGTACCGGACCACTTCCCTTAACATCTACGGATGTGCATCTCTCACATAATATGCATGTAGTGAAACTGAAAGTTCTGCGTTGCAGTTGACGGGTGGACGGTAACCACGATCCACATTAACGTGAAATTTTAAACAGGAAAAAGTTTACCGCCACCAGCCACCAGTTGCTCCCACTGTAAAGATGCCGCTGAATAAGCATTAAGGAAAATGGCCGGGTGTATGGTGTCAAAAATGGTATACTTTACATACACTAAGACTTAGGGTTACTATATAAAGCGTAGGGTCGGAAGTTTATAAGGTGGGATGGTATGTAAATGGTTTAGCAGAAATTATCGGAAGTTCTTACCCACGGGCCACCCATAGTTGTGTATACTTACTATAAGGCTTTTTTCTCAGTTTTGATGTTTTTGTTACAGCGGGAGAAAAGAAATAAATTTTATTTCCAAAATTTCAAACAATTTCCTTGAGCATTCACCTTCAAATGAAGTGCATACCGAAATTTCGAGGAGAAGGATACGGAAGCAAGTTTTATGAGCAGAAGTTTCAACGTATAAAGTATAATTTCAATCCTGAAACGATGTAATTGTTCTGAGAGAGGAGCCGGTGATGCAACCCTGGTTTACTGTGAACAGGGTTGTAATTTTTTCTTTAAGAATCTTTCTAAACGAATATGAATATCGCATTATTACAATCGTTTATATGAATATTACATTGTTACATTTGTCTATGAGTATTACAGTCGTTTAAGGATAGTGTGCCGGTATACGGTACCAATTCGTGTACATGCATGAGAACTTCGCCCACTCCCGAATACTTTTTTGGATTTTTTTAATTATGACGTCCTAAATCCACATGATTTGTATAACTGGCGTGAGAACCGTCTGTGCGCGCAACATCCGGTTGGCCAGATGTCAGAGAAATTAAATTCCAAAAGTTTAAACGCACGGAGATGTACCAAAATTCGCATTACGGAACCGATCTTTCCTAATTCTGCCTGAAAACGCACATTTCGATGAAGATCGTTTTTGCACCGGATCAGCTTTCTATCATTTTTTTCAAATTTAAAATTGAATTTCCAAATTTTTGAATTTTATTTTTAAATTGGAAAACCGAGAGATGATTCGGTGTGAAAACGATTTTTTTGGTAATATGCGTTTTCAGGCAAAATTTAAAAAGAATCGCTTCATAATTTGACTTTTGATAAACAATCCGTGAGTTTAAACTAGTGGAATTTTATTTCGTCGACATCTGACCAACCGGATGTTGTGCGCACAAACGGTTTTGACGCCAGTGTATACAAATCATTTGGCTACAGGATGTCATAATTAAAACAATGCAAGAAAGTATTTGGGAGTGCGCGAAAGCGAATGTTTTCATGCATACATACTAATTTGGTCCCATATGTACCAGGTCACTTAATTCCCTTAAGAGTAAGATAGAAAACGCGCGCGAAGTGTTAATGGGTACCGCGACATTTCGCTGCTTACAACATTAAATTTTGGGCTTACAAATTTCGCCGCAATTTCGCTCATTTTGCCGCGGGATATTTCATCGGGAGACCGTTTGGACGAAGAGTTATTTCGTCTATCAGAGAACAGGTTTTTTACCGTTATAGTACGTACTAAACAGTCGAGAAAACGAAAACAAACGACATAAAAATATAAGAAAATATAAGAGAAGGGAAACAAAAAATCCTAGAAAACGGAAAAAAACGTGCAATATGTCTCAAACCGAAATAGTACCGCGCCGAAGTTACTTTGCGGCAAAAAGTCGCGCGTCGAATGTGGCTGCGGCGAAATGTCGCACTCCTAGTTGACCGGGTGTGGATTAATGTCGTGCTTAGCTTAGTGGGCGACACTGGGTGGAGTGCTAACTTCAGATCCAATCAGATCCCTTCAGATAGCTAATCTCAAGATCAATTAAGTAAAAATCTACGCAAGGCATGCGACCAGCTGCTGCTTACGTGACGCGCCCATGTGCAGTTTTATGTTTTTATGTTATAAAAAAACAGTTATAAAACAGTAGTTTTATGTTTAACGAAAACAGTTTTATGTTTTATGTTGATGCTGTTATTAACATTGATTTTTTGCAAGTTAAGATTAAAATTTTTGTTTTTACCGGCACTGTAAGCAGCGTTTACTTACCCGGCATAAACACACTATCAGAAGAAAGCCATTGTGTTTTCCCTTTTTTCAAATTTAACAGATATTTTACGGATTTTATCTACACTTTCCCTTGGCAGATTTATAATTTTAGTAAATTGCAGTTCAGTTTACTATTTTCCAGCCGATACTTGCACAGTTTATTAACGTCTCAACAATACGGTTCAATTACCGGGACTGATTCCATCATCCACCCTTTTTTCAATATAAAAAGGATGCACTCATTTTTCTATTAAAGACAAATTTGGTAAACCGCGCAAAGAAAGTTAATTATCAGAATATAAACGCTTTGATACATATTTTGCAAAATACAGTATATCGACAGCTCTTTTTATCTCGAAACTGCTAAAGCTTTATGGGAACGAAAGAAAATGACAGAAAACCTTTTGTTTTCCTGATCTAATGATTTTATTAGTATGGTATTACACTCCCTTTAATATTACATTTTATTGCAATTATAATAATAAAGAATCGCTTTTTTACGGTGCTGTTTGGAATTCAATAGCAGAGTAAGCTTACCCTGTGGTTGAGCAAGGCTATATATTTCTGCATCTTAAAATTTTCGAAATAAATCTAAAATCAATTGTTATTTGTAAATATCTGGTAATTTTCTTCATATTTTCATACTTCTATCTAAATTGCAAGTTGCAATTTGCAACTGATACGATCCGTTACCGATAAGTACGTACGGTATCGGGTATACCACTGTCGTGTGCATTAGAAGGGTTACTGCGGTACATACACAATTACAGATGTATAAACAGCAACGCAGAAAATTGGCCTACTGGGTAAGCAGTTATGAAAATCAGCGTAGGTCCGTAGGAGTACAGTATAACTACTGTATCTGTAGTCCGTACTCCGTAGGAGTACAGTATAACTACTGTATCTGTACATTTACGTGAAGCCTTTTTGCCCCAACGGCTCGTCATAAGCTACGGTGCTATATACATTTGTGCGCCACATGATGGCCTTGTGAACGGGAGAGAAATCTAAAATCGATTCTTGTTGCAGTGCTCATTTAACATGATTCCGTTGGGCAAGCTCCCCTGCAAGTTGAATTAAAATGCACAGATGGTTTGCACTGTATTTTGCTTTTGAAAAGCACTGCAAAATTATGGCTATTATGTCCTTCCCAAATCATTTCGAGAATCGTTTACGCTTTTCTCTTAGCTTGTACAAAACCATATCAGCACACATTCCCGACTCAGATAATTTCTTAGTATCCCCTTTATCGGAAGAATTGGCCGCTGTTACGGCATATATTGGAGCGCAGGGCAGAACACGAAGTGAAATAGCAGAGGTTTTAGGCTTGACGGCGGATTACAAAATCGAGGACATTTCGGACTGTTTAGCAAAAATTATCAGCGATGAAACCGGAGAGATCGAGTTCCCACCAGAGAGTAAGAATGTAAGATCCGCAAGAAAAAGGCAGGATTGCCAAATTTCAATGCGTTCTGTTATATACGAAAGACGCTTTGTTAAATATCACATTTTGTGTTACAAGTGCGTTTCATTCGTACCAAGGTTTTCTCTGTAATAATATTAATCTGAATACAGCACCATAGAACGTAATCGAACTTTTATTACAGATATAAAGTACTTTCTGTTTTCTGCAGTCGGATCGTACCGTTCTAATAAATTAAAATCACATCGCTCACAATTTTAATTGAGAAAGTTTGTGCGCCTTTTAAAATAAAAAATAACAAACAAGCACAAAACTAGGCTGCTTCGTTTACAGTTTGCTTAATAAATATTTAAAATTGAGCGGTTGTTATAAGACAAATTTCGAATCAAAAACATGTAGCAATCGGTTCACCTGTTCAGGACGCGTTTTAAGCGAGTATATTCTGTTGGACAATCTTGTTCCGTAATTTCGGTATTATCGTAAAGGTACTGCAAGTATGTAGTACGTGTTTAACACCGTTCTGTTTAACACCGTGTTTAACATCATCAGGTGTGACCGTTTAAGTCTACAATAATATTATCCCGAATGCACAGGTTTAAATTTTCAGATTGGAGCAAAAACTTCGAATTCTCTGCTTGCGTTGGAGTATTTGTCGACGAAAGTGTACGATTGAACGCAAGTTACACAGTGAATGCTCAGAATCTCATCAAGGCAGTTTGCGTACCTGTCCGGTTTGCTGGTGATCCTGAAAGCGCTTGGGAAAATGTGAGAAACTTTATAACGTCGCACACGAAAGGGAAGGTGCAAGACGTCCCGGAGCCATCAAAGATTACGCCGCCTAATTTGATGTTTGCGACTGCTCTTAATTTTCAAGCAAACTGGGCGGCTCCTTTTCCTGAAATCCAGACCGGAAAGAAATGGTTTACCCTCGCTTCCGGTGCCAAAGTGCAGGTGGACACATTGCACGGAACGTTCACTCGGTTATGCAAGTATCACGAAAGCGCAACGCTCCACGGTGCTAAGATCCTTCAAGTTCCGTACATGGGACATTTTTTCAAAGCCTACTTTATTCTCCCAGGCCAGGAAAATTTGTCCTCTTGTGAAGATGGACTGAGCCGTCTGGAAGATCTTCTGACACCCACTCTGTTACAGCAGGAAATGAGAAAGCTGGACTTTGCTCATAAAGTAACGATTGAGATGCCCAAATTTAGCTTGCAGTGCACCATGGCTGTGGAAAATTTCCTCTGGGAAATGGGGATGCCCTCGGCATTTACTGAGGATGCTGACTTGTCGGGTGTGTCCACACTGTCACCTTTGAAGATTTCTACAATCACGCAGACAGCGGTTTTTGGTGAGCTACGGTAACATTACTCATGCTTTTAAATCTGGTTTGCTATGGTCCTGTTCCTGGAGCGCGGTCGCTTGATTCTGCGGCCTTCCAGTTGTTGCTGCACAAAACAGTTGACCAGTTGCATAACTATAGGATGCAACGGCAATATTTACCGGCTGCACTGCATTGCTGATATGCTTTATGATTTTGTATTTTAACGTGCCTTTCAGGAATCGACGAGAACGGTTCTGATCCCTGCCCCGTGGCCGTACCCACCGATCGTCTTATCTTTATGTCCTGGATTCCGCAAAATACAGAGAATTTCATAGCCGCTCGACCGTTTTTATTTGTCGTATGCCACGACGAAACAGGCTCGATTATTTTGATGGGGCGCATTTGTAACCCTCTTATTGCCTGAATGGTCATAAATCGAGTACAGTTAACTAGGAAAGTACACCGCTGTTGGCTCGCACTGAAACATCGAAGAAGGGGGAAAAATTAAATAAACACTTTAGGAGGTTAATCTTTTTTTGTAAATTTCCCATTTTTATTTATTATTTTTTGAGTTCATTAAATATAGCTTCCAACATTGTTTCCCTCTTATGAATTTATTTAAAATATGAAGGCGTGACGGACAAAAGTCCCGTTTTCTTGAGCATAGAGAACCTTCGCTTCGGTCGACCATGCAACTGGAGAAAATCACCTACAGTAATTCCACGAGAACACATGGGAGCAAAATTTTTCTGGCGACTGTTTCTTTAACGGAGACAAATATGAACACCTTCGGTAGAAATCAGAAAAACATCGCGGTACTGCTTAAAGTCGCTGGACAACGGTGGGCTGCAGAATGCATAGCACAGACACGGAATCACGTACTGCTGCAGTGCGTAGAAAAAAGTTGTTTGGTTAACGATTTTGGTTTTTGCCAGTAAAGATTTAAATGACTGTTTTTGCCGGCGCTGCAGGCGACGTGTACGCGGCACAAGCACGATCAGCCGCCGACTTGAGTGTTTTTTTCTTTTCAAGGTTAACGGATAAGTTACGGATTCGTCTGCCTTTGGCAATATTAATTATTAAATGCACCGCAAGTTTTGATAGCGTTTATACTTGTTTGTTTCCCAGTTGATACTACCGACAACAAAATTTAATAGTGTCTGAGATATGGAATTCGAGCGAATGCTGAAACGTGACTCAATATCGGCAGTTCGTTTATCGTTCAGCGGTTTGTCCATGCTGTAAAAGATGCAATACTATTTCAACCCTTTCAATGAACCAATTCTGAACTGTAAGTGCGCCAATAAATAATTCAAGTAGGAACTGTAGTTAAAATGGAGTAAATACCATTACAATTTTGTATAGTACAATATATCGATAGGCTGCTTTTCTGATAACGCTCTCAGTTTATACGGATCGAGGTTTTCCTCAATTACAGCAGGTGGTTTCCTTATAACATAATACATATATTTCCTTTAATATTAGATTCCATTATGTATTTTTAATTATCTTTTTATGCTGCTGCTTTGAATGAAATATACAAAACAGCCTGGCAGCTGTGCTATATGTGTACGTTGAGCCTTCGGGATTGTACGTATCTCCATTCGCACGAAGCATTATTCTTCGGTACGGTAAGAAAGAAAGCGAATGCCGACACAAACGTAAAAATCAAACGATTTTGCCGCTTTTATCGTACACTTTAACGGCACTATACACGACTTCAATTAAAATTAGAAAAAGGGTGCAACCATTCCGTACCGCGCATCCGTTGAATTGTAAGTTAAAGTGCCACTCAGCTGCAGCGCATTTTAATTTGGATGTTAACCGGATATCCAGTACAAAAGGAAAAATTACGTAGTTTCGTACCAGCCCTCTACCTCGCCCCTTATTTATCGGAAGCTGTTGCGACATGCCTACACCAGTACCTGGCAGTTTGTACCTTTTGCACAGATACTAAACAATGCGCTGATGAAAAAACATCGTACCCCTATTATCTGTACAATGCAACGCGAAAATATTTATTTTGTGTATGTCTGCGTTCGCTGGTGTGTGCGCTTTATTGCTTACCGGCGAATGAGCGCCGGTCTAAATGCAGCGCGATACAGAAAACCCTTGTAGCCATAGTGCGCAACTCCGGACGAATAACTGGAGAAGTTTGTTCTGGGACAACACAATTATTACTTTTCATCTTTTTAATACACATTCTTAGCTAGGTACCTGTACACCGCTCTTTCCGGTTGTCTATGTCGAGTTTTTGGAGAAACGGCAAGGTACGGAATGCCGACTTCTGATAGGCATGTGATAGACAAAGTGAAAAAATATCCAAACCCTCAAGCTAAATTTCATCATGATGATATCAACACAAATATTCATGAACACCTAGGTGCAGCCACTCAGTGCGACCGTGCGACGTACACAAGTACGCGCACAATACACCGCAGTAAACAACTCGTGTTGTACCTAGCTTACGAATGCTACTGCAATAAATGGATATAACAGCTTTCTTTTTTGCGTTTTAGAAAGGTGGGGCATCTGTTTAAAGTCCGATAAAGATTTAAAGGACAAAATGCCGTTTTTGTTGCTTTCTGCATTATCCGGCAAATGTTCTGCGTCAATTACTTGCAGAAATATGAGAGCTCTGTGAGATCACGTTGCTTATCTGGGTGACAATTTTCATTGGACCTGTGTCAGTACACTGCCTTTAAAAAATGGCCAGAGTTGCCAGACCGTTTAAGTTTAACTGGCAAGTGGAGGTACCACGGCAGCTACAGGAAGGATGCGTGTTTGATCGATGGGATGAGGTACGTTTTAACTTTTGTAAATTCCTAACAACTATTCTTTTTTTACGATAACTGTAATTTGATTTATTTCGTTTTTATCATTATACAGTACAAAGATGTTCTTTGTTGTATTGGTGAGGACGCAGTAAACGTTTTTCTTGCCAAGTTTCTAGTATGACTGAAATTAGAATGCAGCTTAAACGGTAGAAGTAGCTGAGTTCGAAATTTGTTCGTATTCTGCGGTAGCTAAAGCTATTTAAAGGTTGTCACAATTTTACCGCAGGAAACCGGGGAAATCGAATACGAATGCCGGTTAAAAGTGGACGAGCAGGGTTTTTTCTTCTACTACCGATCGCCTACTTCCAGAACCGTACGAGCATACTATAAAGTGCTACTACTTTTTGTATACCGGTTGGGTACTCATACATCCGCATCGTACAGGACACGGTCGTTCTGGATATGGCACACGTATCTGACATTCGCAACGACATTGTTCCAACGGTAAATCTTGTGCTGCAATAAACTGAGAAAATAACTGAATCGGAATTTGTTCTTCTGCCAAATTCCACAGAACTTAACCGTTAACGCGAAACTGTCGGAGCGCGGACGAGGGCATCTGGGCGACCGGTGTCTGACGTTATGCAGTGGAAACGATCTTGTCAACCTCCTGTATCGCCAGTACGAAGATAGTTAACTGAATTCTAATAGTTAGAGAATTGCAACGACAAATAATTATTTGCTGCAGCTTTGTTGCACCGGATCCTGGAACATGTAAGGTGAGAGTTGTCCCTAAACCCTAATATCCGTGATGCCCATGCTAAAATTAATTTATGCGTTTGTAGCTCTGGACAGAAACGCTACGGAAACTTGCCCACAACATTAAAGCTAACCATCTCTGCCCCATGACTATGCTGCACAAACAGTAGGTTCAGCAATTTGTTGTACATACATTTTCATGCACCTTACATAACGCGACGCTTTCGTAAGATCTTCACTGCGCAAGTTTCTCATCGGTTTTAATTTACATCTTTATAAATCCTCTTTCTGTTAGTTGGAAACGTCTAGCACTTACAACGAACGAAAGAGGCAAAATCTCTGTGCGCCGTATAACGCGGACCTTTGCGTTGGAAAGGACCGAGGAAACCGTTCTACAGTGCCTACACCATCTGATACGGTCCAGATCACAGGCAAAAGCACTGCTAATTAAGGCCAATTCGATTACTTATTAATACTCTATTAATAAATATGGTGAACTGCAGAATGACGAAGCCGACCCCAAAGACTTTACCTTCGAAAAATTCCACTTGCTGTACCACACCATTTGTTCTCGGCACGATATCCGCGACCTTTTCAAGCAAATGTACGTCACTCTGAATTTCATGCACACCTTATTGGTGGTTCACTTTAAAAAAAAGCAGAATTATTGTTAACGACTAACTGCAATTTAGGTCGAAAGGTCACGATTATTTGGAAGTGGGAACACTGGTCAAGTTCTTCAACGAGGCAGGTGCCAACACTAACTCATGGCTTGAGGTGAATAAAATTACATTTCGTTCATCAGGAGCAACGAGATTCCCGGTTACATGGAACACTCCATCCACTTCATACAAAAGAGCGTGTGATAGCGCTTATTGGTCAATACGAAACGGACCCTAAGTTCCGGCGCCACAGTAACTATACCTTGCTTAAGTACATCATTATCGCGGCGGGCTTGCTGGTTAACCGTGTAACTCTTTGTAGATCGAATGAGCCTAGCTGGTTTCTGTAATTACCTCATGTCCGATGAGAATGCGCCGGTCTCACTGGATCGCTTGGACGTCCACCAGGATATGGATCAGCCTTTGAGTCATTACTTCATCAATTCCTCGCATAACACCTACTTAACAGGGCGGCAGTTTGGCGGCAAATCTTCTGTGGACATGTACCGGCAGGTTCTGCTGGCTGGATGTCGGTAAGTTATTCCTCTTTGCCGAAACTGTTCGCAAGGAATACAGTTGATAAACTCACTATAATCGGTTAAAGGATACTACTAAGGTGTGCGACAGTGAACCTTTGAAATTACTTTAATAGTATGTTAAGCTTTTCGTGGTGGGAGAAAATGAAGAAAAAAAGTTATAAGGCACAGTGTGCGGTTTCCCTTTAGGTGTATTGAGCTGGATTGCTGGGACGGTAAAGGCGCCGACCAAGAGCCCATCATTACGCACGGAAAGGCTGTTTGTACAGACATTTTATTTAAGGTTAGCTCAACACACTGCTCGGTACACGGTGGAAATCGACATACTATTCAAAGCGGTGCACATTACAACAATGTCGATGAACATGATCTTTTCACCATAGGATGCCATTATAGCCATTCGCGACACAGCATTCGTAGTCTCTGATTTCCCGGTGATTCTATCCTTTGAAAATCATTGCAGGTAAACGTTGCAGTAATATATTCCCCATAACTGCTGATTTTACAGTTGCGCGTTATCCAAAATTTACTTCACAGCAAGCCACAACAGGACAAAATGGCCAAGTACTGTGAAGAAATTCTGGGCGATCTTCTGTTAAAAGCACCACTGGATGGTTATCGAGTGAGTGCAAACGCACACTGGCTGGCACTCAAGAGTTACAGCTTCCCTTACTGAATCTTTACATTTTATCTACTGTTTCAGATACGAGATGGAGCTCCGCTTCCGTCCCCTTGCGCCCTTAAAAGGAAGATTCTCATCAAAAACAAACGTCTAAAACAGTCGATTGAACGACGTACGTACCGGTATATAACTGTTATAACATGATATTCCAAAGAGCTGTACCGATGAATAAAGTAATTCATCCAACTGATATAATCACTTGACCTAAAAAATAAAATGAAACAAAACGCGCCACAAGTTTGAAATAATGTAGACCGTAGTGATTAAACAGAGTATTTACTAATAAATACGAGTAATTTTATATGATCTCCCCAGGGCTCTTTTTAAAGCTCTACACTCATTAATTCTTCATCGAAAAACCGTTCAGCTGCTGGCATTTTATATAGAGGAGCTGGAGCTGCTGCGGCAAGGCCATGTCGACGCGGTTCTCAGCGATGACCCAAGCCACGATCCCGCGACGAAGGTGGACGGAGAGGAACGAGCTCCGACGTCCACCGACGACCGGCCGTTGGCGGCAATGCTTTCCGCATCATCCATCCACAGTCGTCCGACGATTCTCGCTGTGCCGGACGAGCTGCCGCCGCCCGATGAATACAATCCACCGCCCGGACCACAGGGCGAGGATCCGCATCCCGAACGGCCGCTGGACAGTCGTCCGATAGCGACCGCTATTAACGGGCCATCGTACGTTAAGGCGAAGTGGGCGGCTTGGTTACGAGCGGCACTGCGTCGTGGAAAAATGGCCCGCTCAAGCAGAACACCGGTCGACTGCGCTGACGCGCCCGCCCGAGCGCGCAGTGGGTCCATGTTGCGCTTGCACGAATTGCTGAAGTCGAATACGCTTCAGCGCATTAAGACAATTAGGCGAATCCAGGTAACGAGAAACATGGGTGACCACGTGGGTCGACGAGCACGATGAACCTCGATTAACTAACCAGCTGTCGTGGTATTTCAGAACCCAGTGAATCAGGATGACGAGACGTCACTGCAGGCTTATTACGAATACACTGGAGCAACTACAGACATTCACCCGCGACTGTCGTCTTTGGTGAACTACATCCAGGCGGTAAAATTTCAAGGATTTGAGGTGGCTGCAAGTATGAAAAAGCTTCTCTGCGAATGGCGGCAGCTTGTAAAAAGCCACATAAAGCGGTTTGTGTCTGATTGGCAGAGCGCAATTTATCGCATTGCGTATCGTCGTTCAGTGACGCAGCCGGATCTCACCTGCTGCAGACCAGTGCACTGCAGTTCGTCAGGTCAGTCAACTGACAAAGCAACTATTAATGTTGCTGTACGTAAATACTGTGTAAAGGTATTCAGGGCTTTCGGGTAACAGCCAACAACACGAAAAAGAGATCTACAGGGTCTGTACACGGGCGTAATTTTGCACTGTGGGCATTTCTACACATGGTTTTGTTAGTACTTGTGAAAATACCGTTTGTGTCGATTGATCAAAAACTGGCCTGAAATTTGCAGCTACAATATACGACAACTGAGCCGTATCTATCCCAGAGGTCCCGCCGTTGAGTCCTCAAATTTCCCACCGTATACCTTCTGGAGTGCCGGATGCCAAATGGTGGCGCTCAACTTCCAGACACCCGATGTAGCCATGCAGTTAAATTCAGCTAAATTCGAGTACAACGCCAATACTGGGTACGCAAATAGAACCCCAAATTACGACACTGTATTTTTTGTCTGACACACACGAGCGGTCTGCTTTTACAACGCATTGACAGGTATCTCTTGAAACCGGATCGCCTGCGACGCTCGGACCGGCCGTTTCATCCCGGTGGGCAGGCAATGCTGGATGGTGTCGTACCCGCCTACTGCTCTGTTCGGGTACCCGAAGGTGGTAACGATTATTTACACTGTGCACAGTTACCTTTTTACAGGTGATTTCTGGGCAGTTCTTATCGGATTACAATGTCGGGACCTACGTGGAAGTGGACATGTACGGATTGCCGGCGGATACGTGCGTCGGAAAACATCGAACCCGTACCATTCCCAATAACGGTCTCAATCCGGTTTACAAAGAGGAAAAGTTTGAATTTCGAAAGGTCATCAAAGCAGACATATTATGCAATCTCGGAATAAAAGAGCAAATTCGGCGTGGTTATAGGTCATTCTTCCGGAATTAGCGATGCTTCGCTTCGGTGCCTACGATGAGGACGGGAAAGTGCTGGGCCAACGGGTTCTGCCGTTGGACGGTCTACAAGCAGGATACCGTCACATAACGCTGCGAAGCGAAGCCAATTTTCCGCTGCCCTTGTCCACACTGTTCTGCCACATTGTATTAAAAACATACATTCCCGACGGTCTTGGTCGTAAGTCCATTACGCATCTCTAGAATTACTCTGTAGCGGCTCGACCAAGTCATGCCACAGAGTTTGTGTACGAAATTGCATCCGGTGCAGCGTGTGCATGTCCCTGCGTTCGCCTGCACACTTAATACACACACACTCGGGGTACTGTTTTCCCGTACACCAACTCTGTGGCATAACTTGGTGGAGGCGCTACAGAATGCCTAACTTTAGTGCCACACTTTAATTTTGGCGAAGAGTGAAAAACATATTTTTTTATTTTTGGCAGCCTTGGCTGATGCCTTATGTGCACCACAAGGAGCAAACGGTAGACGCCTGAGTCAGTCAGCTTTGGTGAATAGTGACAGACACCTGGTTAGATGCCCGGCATCACCGTCCACGCACCGTCCAACCTCCGAGTCTGCAGATTCAGGCGAGGCAGCTGGTTCGGTCTACGACGCGCATTTAATCCCCGTGATAACAATCACTACAGATGGCTCGCCGCTCGCCGTAGTAACCGACGAACTGAAACAGAACAAGCTCTTCGTCATACTATTGGCCAAACAGGCCGCCGAGACCAAGACTCTTCTGAAAAAACACGCCAAGAACGCCAGGAAGGGCAGAAAGGTCAAATTCCACGGGTACGTTTTCTTTGTCCACCGTATGAGTACTTCAGTTTTTGCTCTGCTCTATTCTAGCACCCTTTCAACCTTTTTTGACAGTTATGACGCTATTTACACATACAGTCATAGAAAGCTACTTTTCGTGTCCACCGAGTCCAAGGATATTAATTTTAGTTTACGTGTATTTTTTGTGAAGCTTAGAAGCAAAAGCGTATCTGCCTATCTGGTGCAACAAAGCATCGAAGTACTCTGTATTTGTGCAACAGTTGCTTCTGCAGGGACAACCTAAGAGGTGTGGATGGTGCGCCGAGCCCAAGATCGATAACAGGCAGCTGTAGTCGGCGATCCGCAAATTGTTCGCAGTTAATTAGTCAGCATTTGCACGAAGAACAGGAGCTGATGCGAAAGCACTGCTTGGAACGGTGTGAGCTGCTGAAAAGGCTACTCGATGAGCATCATAATCAACAGTGCGCGAAGTATGCAGCAAAACACAAACGGTACGTGTAATTATCTTTCTTTAAATTGAATCTGGCTGTCATTTTTAATCTACGGAACAGAGAAAATCAGGAGCTAGAGTCGCAGCAAGCCAGACAGTCTATGGAACAGAGAAAGGCGCTGGAGAAAGATAAAAGCATAAAGAAAGAAGCCGAACGGAATTGCCGTATTAACGAGTTATGCGTCAATAATGCCAAACGGTTCAGTGTAGAACGGAAACAAGCACAGAGAAAACAGCAACAAGAAGTGATGGAGTTGGTGAAGCTACAAAGCGAGGAACGGGAAGCATTGGCAATAGGAAATGAAACGGTATGATGGCGGGGTGTTTATTCCGCTGCAACCATGGTCGCCGTTTGCCAGTATACACTACCACTGACGTGCGCTGTGCAAAAAAACTTCTCTGCGTTTAACCTGCAAATTTTGTTGACAGGCATTACAAGAATCGTTTTCTGAGGAAGGCAGGTCGGCAACGGAAATGGTCACACTTGTATAACAGAAACTGGCTCCCTAGATGTGTTTTTTTGTATTGCAGTCTTTGAATGCCATGGAAAACTTGTTCAGGTTGTTTTTTCAGTCATTTTGTAGGAGTGTCAAATGTTTGTTGGGATCCTTGTACAGTAAATAAGTACTACTCGAGTAGTGTCTATCAGCTACTTCAGAGACGTGCGGCTCATTTCTCACTGATCGGCACGTGCAGCATTTTAACCAACGCAAGATTTTTACTTTCAGAGTGTCAGTCAAGTCATCGCCTGTATTAACCAAGCCCGCTTTCCCTTAATTTGTTCCGCGCAGGACTTTTATGTCGTGCGCTGAATGCGGTAACAATGACGCCACGAATTTATAATGCAGCTAGCAAAAAAAATTGTAATAGATAACCGTTGTAAGCGTTTCTTGTTGAGTAAACACACGGCACAGGAAGATCTACTGGATCGCTTTGTCAGGCGCAATACTACACAGACTGTCTTGTTGCGGTTACAGCATCCGGTACGATGACACGTTGGGTTCTGTTGAACTGGTCGCACATGTGTGTCATGCACTCGTGCATACTTGACAGCTGTCGGCAATGCAGTAGAGGTATACGAACGTCAATAAAAACAAAATCAATGTGCGAGTACTTGCTCGTCAATATCTATATGCAGTCCTTAATTTACATTTTTCAGTAAAGGGAGGGTGCAGTGATTCCTTTGTAGGTAGACATTCCTGGATTTTCGGCTATTATAGACATTCCACAGGGTTAAGAACACCGCTTGAGCACCGCTCTTTGTGGTACGAACACGTTAATTTGCTTCTATACGTAGTAACGTACCGCTTGCTAGACGGCACAACAACGTTCACCTGCTCTACACATACTACAACGAATATAGAGATAAAGCTTACAATATAGAGTTTACAACACTGGATGGCTGAGTAGGAATTACGGCGTTATCATCTTATCGGCTTCTTTCTACACATGTAGTATCGTTTCGTTCTACACATGCAGTATCATTGCAGTATCGACTTCATATCAGATGCGATAAAGAAATGGCTATTTGAAATGCATGCAAAAACAAGGTGCCTTACCTGCCTGGGTGCATTGCATTGTAACTCAGAATTCTGCAAAGCAGTGCGGCCTAACGATTTGCAACGTATGTTGAAGGTCTAGTGCAGTGTAAGTTATGGGTAACAGACAGGTGACCTGTTTAAGGAAAGAACATCCTGTCGACTTCCCCGCCGATGCTGCCTTACGTCGACGAAATTTATTGTTAATTCCGTGCACTTGGGGGCTGCACATTGCTGGAAAATACACCCCGAAGTTCGTGGAGAAATTTGTAAACAAGATCAACAACTGGCAATACTGCCAAAATGAGAACTATTCCTACACAATTTTGCCCACTATTTTCGCTTCTCTTGGAGTGTTGCTGATGACCGCGGATATTGTTTCCGATATTATACTTGGATGGAATTTTTATTGGGAGGGACATGTGGCGTGGGCGACTTGCACCGCGCTTTTTGTAATTGCACCAATAGTATTCGCCCAGTGTTACCGCGTGTGCTACCGAAAGACTCACAAATGGTATGAAGTCCACCCGGTCGGGCCATTTTATTGGTAAGTTATCACCAGCGTAATAATAAGCTAAACTGAACTGACCGGACAAAGGGTTGGAAGTTTGAATACGTTGTGTTGATAGCTACGTGCATTTTCCGGCTGGGTGCAAGTGTGCAAGGAGATCGTAGTCTAGCGGGCTTTTGGTGCATGATGACTGTATCATTATGCATCGAACCGGACTTTGTGTGGGCAGAATACGGTATATATAATACGATTATATTATAATCGTACGAATGTAAAGAAAGATTTTACGAAATGTTTCGTGTTCATCGTTAAATGTTTTGTTGTTTAAACTGATGAAAACTTTATCTTTCTTTGAGGTCGATTCAAACGTGTTGCATCCACTATCAGCACAGACAGTTAGAAGGCAAACATGGGAGCAATGTCACGGAAGCCCAGCTAATGGAATTCGCGTACACCACAGAGAAGTTGGGAAAATCTCTAAAGCAAAAAGATCTCGCTTGTGGAGATGAGAAATACCTCGAATCCTATCCCCAGCTATTTTTACAAGCCTACTTTACAGCCGAATCGTTGATTGCATCCCAACAGCGGTCAGAATATCTTCCCACACGGCCTGTTAAATGGGATCTGTACATTTCAACGGTTACATCTGCCCTTTCGCTTCTTCATTATGAGGCGTTTGTTGTTTACAGCAGTGGCACGACTCTAAGAAAGTCTAGTTCTGCGAATCTTATTTGATGTAATTTGCCTGGGACCCAGATTGATGTTGCTGGTCTGTTTTTTCACCGTTGAGCCGAAATACGTAACGATCCCCGCTTTCTGCTTTGTTCACACGACTGCTGCGTGCTGCCTGTTTTGGGTGGTACGCCGAGTGGATGTAGTTAGCGGTTTATTTTGGGATCTGGCCAGGCAAGAAGATTTTCGGGGATACAAAACTCACAAGTATCGAATTATCAATCTCCTCCGTGCGACAATTGTCAGTACGCTACTGCCCCCGTCGTTTGGTCAGAAGGATCTGGCGCCTGTATCCCTGATTAATACTCTTGGCTATGTCTACAGCGGCGGAGATAAACATGATATTAAGTTGCTGGGTAAAGTGCTAGCAATAAGCGCATTCCAGTTTGTTGAGAGTATTGTGTTAGTTTCCATCTGGTTACGCGCTGGTTCTGGCCAAATACAACACCCGTATCATATTGTGATTCCAGTAGTTACCCTGGCGCTGTTGTTATTTCGTCCCATCATTGAATTCAGTATTTTTCTTTGGATTGCCGTGAAAGATCATCTTAACAGAGATACCTGCCCGAGGGAGTCAGGTGAGGGCACTGTTTTTTATGGTCAAAATGGTAATGCACTTCCGCATGTTACCAAATTTTGCACTTACAGTACATCTGTAATTAACATAATCGTCTACCGTAAGGGTCCTGAAATCGTCTACCGTAAGGGTATCCCAGTTTCCCCTAAATTGTGTCTTGGTAACAGGATAGAGTCCATTTTCGGTATACGGAAAGGTGGATGTGCTCCGGCAGAAAGGTGGATGGCTCATCCACCAATCCATTTTCGACCATCGGCAAAAAGGTGGAAGCCATCTCATTGAACATCCACCATCCACTTGTCCCCCTTTCTGCCGACTGCAGGCGTCTGTATAGCCCTCAGACTATTCTGGCTGCGGCAAAATAGCCATTTCGTATAAATATTGCTTATTTGTACAAATGTATAGCATTAGCTACTGTACAATGTACATTAGCTATATACAATACATACAGTTATACATGTAGGTGCATTATTGGTTATACGTCTAGTGGAACGCGTACTGTTACCCTGATCTATACGGCCACCTCAACGAACTTTACCGTATTCTGCAGAAACGCTGGTAGGTCGTATAGTAACTGTATAGCTGTATTCCTCCAAGTTAGTAAAAGCATCTCGCCGGATTTTTTACCAGAATTCGTCATCTGCCCGATTTCTGCCGGGAGCACACCGCCATAAAATGAGATCGTCTCGCTACATGCCAGTGCAGACACTTCACAAAATTCCAGCGACATTTCTCTTCGTTGTCAGATTTTCCAACATCCTACCCAAGACTATCGATACGCTTCTGATGACACATGAAAGTTTACCTATACAACAGCACGATCTATAGGGGCAAAGGCCGGCCATGAGCCTCCACGCATCCACACCGGACCGGCGACGCGTTGTTAGTATTTGCTGCCAGCACTTCCATGCACAGCTTAGTCACTAGTGAAAAACGGAGTTAATAAATGTCCGATACTGCATAGACGAGATATTTCAACATTTTTTGTAAATGACGCTAGTTTGTAGGTCTCAAGCTTACTTCGGCACTTATTCGGTCAGGACTACAACTTCTCCCTTTCTATGACATGTGCCTGCACTTCCTTCGTCCCCTGGAGTTGTGGTTTCGAGTTTTTAAGTTGGACGACATGGATGCTCAGCTAATTGTACAGAGGTCGAACATTATTCGTCTTGAAATTTACCGAGATTTTCTGAGCAGCTTCCTTCTGCTCTCTGATCTGTTCTTTGTTCTACCTTATCCTGTTGAGCGGCCGAACGATGGTGACATGATCTTTGGAGTGGATTACATCAGAAATCCTTTGGACGACAATCCCGGGCTCGTACAGCACTTGCCACACGAATACGAGCTACGCCCGTGGGGAATGTACCCTTTCCTGAACCAGTACCGTCTTGACTATTTCTTCGACTGGGAAATTCTGTGTAAAATCGGATCTACAGAAACGATGTTAAAAGACTGCAAAACCAACCAAACTGAAAGTCACAGACTGCTGAAAGATACTATAAGAGAGTGTGAAGGTGATAAGTACTGTAACAAACGATTAATGTGCAAAACTATAAGAAATGGCCGTTGTTCTTACAATTAGCCAAGCGCAGCGTTAATTGGGTTTTCGATTTTAAAGCCAACATTTTTATTTTAGATCGCATTTATTTTTGGAGGAATGCATTACTGGCCTGCCTAAATTATGAAGACCTGCCGGAGAATTTTATAACGGAACTGTGGTCAGACAAAGGTCGAACTCAGAAAAGGGATTTTCATATGATTAACGATTATCACGAACTGGTAAAAGCCAATTGCGCGGCATGGAAAAATTTGGAGCTTAGTTTGGTGGCTTCTGATTCAGCTAAACAGGATAAGGGACGAAGCCCTATGTTAGGGGAAGAGTGGGACTTGGGATCCCCGCTTTACCGCTTAAATTAACCTGGTTGCCAATATGAAGAGCGTGGCCAACACTCAAACAGGCCAAGTCACAGTCTGACACAAAGAGCGCTGTGAATGCATACACAGTCTTCGACGCTTATGGAGAAGTGGAATCAAAAGCAGCGCTCAACCAATAAGGCGCCAGGGGCAATCTTTTACTTTTAATGCAATATAAACATTACATAAATACAATGCGAAGTCCTTTACGGCTTGAAGAAAAAGGAGTACCAAAATGTCGGCTATGGCCATTTTGCCGCAAATACTGCGGCAAAATAGCCACTTCGCAAAAGGTCACCAACGTCCAAAGAGACCCAGTACAGCTAGGTAGTACTATTCCAGGCGCCAACGCAGCTATAGTAGCAAACTGTTACGATAATGTGTTGCCACGATAACAGCATACTTCAGCCTATAAACCTTATCTGTCCCGACAGCTTACCATCCTAAATTACGGTACGAGGAGGGAGCAAGCATCTTCGGTAGCGCGTTCCAGTATTCAAGACTCTTTGTACACTGTGCGTCAAGCGTGCGTCAAGCGTTTCGCGAATCCGCGAAAGCATGATTCACTTAACAGCCAACCGTGGAATGTTGCCCATCTGCATGCACCTTACCGTCAACTGTGGAAGGGTGCCCTGATTGACAGTAGCCAAGTTAAAACGTGGATTGCCAGCCTTCCGCGGTTGACTGTTAAGCCAGATTTGCAGCCACACGAGTGATCAAACTGTCTCGACTATTCGAACGCGCTACTGAAGATGCTTCTTCCCTCCTCGTACACAGTGTATGCGGGAGATGGGAATATTAACAACTGGCAGTTCCAGCGCTGAGCGCGGTGCTCATTGCTTTAAACCACACAACAGCCTTACGTATGAACTAAAAGGGTTTGGTTTAAACTTTAAACCAAAGCGCTGGATTTAAGTGCCAAGAAAACAATACTTATAACAGTTAACCCAAGCAGAACATTGCACCAAAACGAAGAGTGTAATTTGGCTCTGCTAGAGCGGCTGCTTATCCTGCGTCCAACTAGAAGGAATGGTAACGTACACGGCGTTCATCAGTCGGTCGGATTTCGCATGAGATGATCGTCGTTTAACGCGTCAACAGTTCAATGCGGTCGCTCGAAAATTTTTTCAAAAGAACATTTTTCGATTACCGCAGCAGCGGAAATATTAAGGTTTTCTACTTATAACTACCGAGTTTTGGTTCCGAAATTCGAACCAACAGAGCTGATAATTAATGTTTTTAAAAAACAGAAACCGACGAAAATTGAAATTCACACATCAGCTGCGGGGGCACATGTAGCCGGCAGAAAGGTGGACGGGTGGATGGTGGATGTTCAATGAAATCGCATCCACTAATCTGCCGACCTTCGGCAGATTGGTGGATGAGCTATTCACCTTTCTGCCGGAACACATCCACCTTTTTTAAAGGCCATCCACCTTTCTGCCGAACCAACCCGTCGGTGTCGATTGATCTGGCACTGGCGCCATTGAGTGCATTCAGGTCCATTGTAAGATCAGTGCATGCGCACACTACTGCTCCGCCAGAAAGGTGGATGCAGTTACTGAACTCGGATATTTCTATCACTCTGTCTGAATATGCCATCCTACTCGTTTTCGTTCTCCGGTGTGATCGCATGCACTGATCTTACAATGGACCTGAATGCACTCAATGGCGCCAGTGCCAGATCAATCGACACCGACGGGTTGGTTCGGCAGAAAGGTGGATGGCCTTTAAAAAAGGTGGATGTGTTCCGGCAGAAAGGTGGATAGCTCATCCACCAATCTGCCGACCTTCGGCAGAAAGGTGGATGCAATCCGGCAGAAAGGTGGACGGCTCATCCACCAATCTGCCGAAGGTCGGCAGATTGGTGGATGCGATTTCATTGAACATCCACCATCCACCCGTCCACCTTTCTGCCGGCTACAGAGTTGCGGTTATACAGATACATGGTGCTAAAACTTTTGTACTGACCCAACTTCACACTATCCGGGAATAGGATTGATGAGCTCGGCCTTTGGCAGTCTTTTTATTATGCATTCAGATAAACGCGGTAATCATGTGAATTTTGCGGAGACGGCAGATGGCTTTGAAAGATATCCAATTACTTCGATTACCATGTTTCTCACTTGCCCTAACAATGTTGGGTAACAGTGGGAATACAAATAGCTTACGTTGAGCGGGTGGGCAGCAGTTACCAGTTTGGATCACACATAGCCTTTGAACGAACAATCGTTTACGCAAGTACGCACCGTTGCTCTGCCGGATGTTCGCATATCGCTATAAGCTGCTGGATGTATGAAACCCGTCTAGGATTCTTCTGAATGCAGCTATAAGCACGGCGCCATCCACTGGAAACCGAGAAAAGGCCGGAAAATGCATCGATGGGGGAATCGAACCCCGGCAACGTCGTTAAATCCGCGTAGGCAGTACCACTGCACCACGGCGCAATACGTTGAAATCCTTTGAAAGATTTTGTTGCTGTACACAGCGACAAAATCCGATTCTCGCTTCACACAGCGATTGCTGATTAGTGACTACAATGTCATATGCCAGCGAACTGGCATCGATCTGCCGAAAGATCGAGATGTTGATCGTGTATGTATCTGTAGTTAAGCGGGTAGGCTAACACAATTATACTGAAATATGTGCTGACGGAAAACCTATAATATCTCAAACGATGTTTAATCGACTACCAGATTAATCTTGACCTTGATGCCATTTTTGGCGGTCTTGGCTGGTGGCAGTTAACAAAGTAACAGCCAGTAAGGTGACTAAAGAAGGGCAGAGGCAGTCTGGTAAAACCCATGTTTTCTCTTAGCGAGAGCACATTAAAAAATTCAATATCGTTACTAAAGAAGTACAAAACGCAATCTTGTGCGTAAAGCAGTCGGGAAGTAATTCAGTGATGAGCAGAATACATATTCTCGGCGTCTAAACAGTCAGCAGCAGTACACGGAAGCGCTCAGGACCTGCCGCCTGCAGGTGATAAGAGGCAACGCTTACTCTGTGATATGCGATGCCATGACACGGCAACTCAAAATTATTGTCCGTGCACGATCCAGTTGGAGGTGGGGCAGCAAAGGAAGAAAGTACAAACACCCGTCGTATGCGCCCACGGGTGCATATATTTATTCCGATGCAGCGAGAGCTCATCATGATAATATTTTCGTGCTTATTTTCAACTGATGCGAGGTCGAGGATGGTGGCACCAAAATTTTAGATAAGAAGATTGTCAGACTTTTCAGATGGAAATGTACAAGTTATACACAGTATCTGTAAGTTGTCCGTTCGCGAGCTGAACAACATGAGGTTTGTTCGCAACGAGAGACAGATGTTGCTACAGCGGAGTACGAACCGCTCCTGTCAAATTAAAATTTCAGTTTCCGGCAGAAGGATCCATTGCGTCTACTGTTTCATGCGCTAACGCAGCTTTGACCAATCGTGTTCCTACGAAAACGGTGTACAGCCGCTGCTATCGGTAACTCCGTGCCTGCCTCACGGATTGGTGGAAGTTCACCTGGTATGAGTGGCTCAAAGCAGGGAGCACCGCACTGTCACTACCAACCGTTGGTGTTTCCATCTCCTGAGCAGTATAAGCGTAGGATGGAAAGTTGTCGGAACAAATCAGGCGCTGGTCGATTTATTGATGTTTTCAAATGGCTTATGCATAACCTGCGGCTTCGTGCGATTACCGTGTCCATTGGTGTACTGCATATGCATATTTAGTGAGTGTATAATACTGTGATTGCTCTTGATCAAGTACGCTACGCATGGCGAATTCAGGCTCCCTCCATTAAATATTAATGTAATAACAAATTTCTCCAGAATCCTGCTGTTCTCCAGTTACGGCTAGCGAAATATAAGGCCGAAAAGCTGAGCGGTACCTCCCCGTGTTTAGTTTGTTTTTGGAAACCTGTTAGCAGTATTACTGGACATTAATTCCATGGCTACCGCTCTGCTTACAAGGGTTCTGCTTTCGAAGTGAATTCGCACGGGAAACCACACCAGACTTCACAGAATTTCTGCTTGATGATGAATATTCTGATCAGTACTTGGTAATACTACAATCAGAACGGTCCGCAAAATAGAAAACCAGTCACACTGGTTCCAAAGGAAAATGGTTTAAAAGAAAGTACGCAAACCCGAAAACATGTGGCTATTGGTCAACAGTCTGAGCTAATGAGAAATTAGAAAAGACCGCTGGATTTCATTGCCAAGAAAACAATGACCATGACACTTAATTCAAGCATAACACTGCACCAAAGCGAAATGTGTAATTTGGCTCCGCAGCCAGAGCGGCTGCTTCGCTTGCGTCCAACGGGAATATCCGCCATACGCTCAGGTACACTAGTGGACTCGGCATTCATTAGCGGGTCAGATTCCACAGCAGAATCCTCCAGCACAGCCTGCAATTTAATGCAGTTATTCGAAAAACTGTTCTTGCCCCGCGGAACGTAAGCGTTCGCTTACCCTGCCTGAAGTAGGGACGTTGTTTCCTCTCTCTGACAGAAAAGTCTTAGATTCACCAGCTGCCGTAGCCGCATCCACAGACGCGATAATTCTTTCTTTAACCACCAGGATAGTTCTGACTCTATTAACCGCCGCAAGCCAAAACTGCCAACAGCAACATCAAGATCAAAATTAATCTGCTACCCGATAAAAACATAGTTCGAAATAATATTTTCGTAAGAGTAATACCTGCTTAATTACACGATCAGATACTTGGTCGTTCGGTACGTCGACGCCGGTTTGCTGGCGTATATAGTCAGCAATCGCTGCGTTCCGCTACAGAGAGAAATTAGTTACCCAAATTAATTTATTGCGCAGTTTAATAAGCATAATACAAAATACGCTTTCCATAGTTCGAAGCCATGGTGCTGTGATTGCCTTCATAGTGACCTTTACCTGAATACCGGTACACTTGGTGAACTTTCTATTCGCTGTACGCACCAGTATGTGTCAGCTCTTTTTGTTGTTCTCCAGGCGGGGACACAGAGGACGGGCGACCCCGGGGATAAATAGTTTCGGCCGTTACAGACGCACGTTCCATATCCGCCGTCCACACAACGTGATGCTCCTTGCCGGTCCCGTTGTGCTGTTTCGCATCGTTTCCCCCATTGGTTACTTTGATTTTTCCGGCCATAATTCTTACGTAGAAGAGAAATACCGTAGCACTCAGTAATTAACGCCGTGCGGCTGTTGCCTCACTGCATAACAGTGTTTTTTTGTATTTGCAGAAAAAAATCATAAAAAGTGATATGTTCTTCTAGCACACGAAAGACATTTTAAAAGCCAGTTCCCCGAAGAAATCATATATGCAACTGGCAAGTTGCACGAAAGAGAACTGACAGATTGATAGCACAATAATTATAATTAAGTAGTCTTCTACCCTCATGGATCAGTTTAATATTTAGTATATACCATTTATTATTGAATGTTTATTGATTACGGTAAGTCGCAATATTTTGCATCTGATGCCAGAATCGGCAGGGGATAAAAGGTGGCAGCGGCACCTGCCACTGGCAACTGCCACCGGTAGTGGCATTTGCCATTACGCGTTCTGGCAAGCGATAAAACGTGGCAACTGCCAAAAATTCAAAATTCAAAATCAGCGAGAGACGATTCTGTCAAACAACGATAAGTTCCAAGTATAGGGAGAATCTTGTATTCTTCCCGATCGACTCTATAGAATTTATCCATGGACCCTTCAGCCGGAGTCGAGTGCCCGCGCTTTCCAATGCAGCAAGCGCTGCAACGCTGCTCAGCTCGGCATCCCTCGTATTAGGATTGTTTTTCATAATTTTGGTTTGTTGTGCCTGACGTGGTCCACGCGCGAACACACGACTCCGGCTGAAGTGTTCACGGAAAAGTTCTATAGAGTCGATCTGGGAAAATGCAAAGTTTCTCCCTATAGACATTATCCTTGGATGGCAGAATCGTCTCTTGCTGATTCTGAATTTTTGGCAGTTGCCATGTTTTATCGCTTGCCAGAACGCGTAGTGGCAAATGCCACTGCCGGTGGCAGTTGCCAGTGGCAGGTGCCACTGCCACCTTTTATCCCCTGCCGCCAGAATCACACTATAACACGTAGGTCAGTATGTTTTCAAACATTTTAACTGTCGTGTCATTTTACGAAATATCCGCGTCAAATCATGCGTATACGAAAATAAAAATTAAATAAAATCGTAAGAAAAGGGTGTAAAGACATGCGTGTCTCCCATTCAAGCATCATAGCAGCGCTGGATAAGCATCAGTACGAACAGAAAAGACTACCTGTTAAGTACATTGTACCCTTTGCCGATTAGTACGAAAACGCACCTGGAAGAGCGGGAAGGTAAAGCAATGTATTTCTGTTACAAGAAATGATAATGACTATCAGCCGTTGCAGACTCTGTTAACAAAATTGTTGAGCTTCAGTCTAAGCTTGTTGAATGATTTATGCTATTTAACCGCGCACAAAACCAGTGCCATGCTTTTCCGTTAGAACGCTACACTTGCGAAAATCGAGGGAAGCGGCGATATACCGACTACCGAGATATAGTCTGTGCTGCAGCTGCTCCATCGTCAGACTGTTTTCCTGATCACATGACCGGTGCAGCCATCGTATCACATCACACATGGAATCGATAAAGAGGATCCTGATAGTGCGCTCTGTACATCGTTAAGCGTTACATACCGGTAAGTTGGCAGTATACGGTAACAGGTTGCTTGACGAACGTGTGGTGGAAAAGAGCTGTATGGCGTGTATGCTCAATATAGCGTACATAATTCTAGAAATTTGGCACGGGAAAGCAGTCGTCTTTATTGAGAAATTATCAACTTAAGCAGTCAGTGAAATACCATGCTAGTTTGCGACCTTACTCTGTCGCAGTCACTGTCACATCAATTTTTCAAGTTTTAATGTACAGTTAGCGGCACTTAGCGCAATGATAAATGGCCATAAAAGCTAAAATCAACAGAGTGAACAGACCTAATGAGCAACATAACTTACAACATGCCCAGGGAAGTTAAAAATGCAGTTTTATTTGGATCAAGCAGGTGACCATCGCAAAAGCGAGTGGACCAATTTACCTGGACGCCGGCGCCAGTCACCTTGTTTACGGATATCAGTCTGGTTTTGCAGTCGATTGCCAGTGATTAATTATCAGACTCGCACAAGAAAGAAGATATAAAAGCTGACAGCGCGAAAGTTAGAAGATGAACACCGCAGTCTTTTTGATATCACAAGCTAATGTTGGCGTTGTTTCTCGTTAGTTTGCTGCCTGTGTCAACTTTTGGTACGTCTTGTAAGTTTTCCGAACTCCGAGCGTTACGATGGCTTCACATCCTCAGAAGGTTGTGTTCTTGGTGTTAGCTGTTGCAATCGGCATTTTGTTGCCGCAGTATAACACTGCTCCTTCGGAGCAAGCCGAGCAAGCAGACCAAGCGGAGCAACCGGCAGCCCGGACTATTACGATTCATGAGGAAGCCCATCTGACGCCAATCGTCGAGAAAAACGACACTGGGTTCTTTGATGATTACCTCAAGCCCCGAGGAAAGGACTGCGACAGACGAATCTTCCGTCCGCTGTGCACATGAACTCAACTCTTTTGCCCAACGACCGCGTAGATTTCACACTCTAACAAAGCAAAATCGTGCGAAGTGTCATAGTACAATCCGTCATCAACATTTAACCCTACCGCCTAACGCATCCGTATTGTAACTCCTTATGCAGACGTTACAATTTGGAAAATATCCGTCTTACTGTTATTGTTTTAAACTTTTAATTAATCAGTCATATGTTAATCTGCATCTAAATAACGTAGGTTGCGCAGGTGTACAGTTAAACAGTCAACGTGCGGCTCGTGAAAAGTAATAAAAGTGATTCTATCGTAAATGTGCGATGGTAGTAATCGAACAGTCAAAGTGAATGCTGTACCAAAACATTAACTGAAACATCTCGCATCGCATGCTCAAATAACCCAACAATCTACTTTATTGCAGTTCATCACAAAATAATCTTCAAGATGCTACAGTAAACTATTATGGTATAATATTCTTTTACAGCTTCAGGCAGGTCGCATAACTTATTTGGGCAACAAAAAAGCAGCGAAACATCGTACAGTTCAAGACGGAACGGTCGCGCGCTCCCAACCCAGCATTCCGTATGATTATAGCGCAGTGCACTGTACGGCTAGGTGAAATCCAGGCTGACCGCCGTGTATCTTTTACCCCCGGTTGAGAAGTAGTCGTAGCTGTCGATTGTTGCTTACGGTATCTTATTGAGTGATCTATGCTTATGAAAGTTTCCAGAAGTTTCTTAAAGGGCGCACTTTTTCCGGATAGACTTGTACATGTATCAGCATTTGATTGCACTGCTGCAAATAAACACCGGAAAAAATTTGAGTGATTGAGGTAATAAAAGACACTGCCCCGCATCGTGGCAAATTTGCTTCCGTGGAATATGTTCAGTTTGTTACGTCATAAGAGACCCCACAAACGTTATGTGCTGCCCCTGGCACTGTACGTACAGTCTGTAGCTAAGTCTAGCGTAAAAATCCCGACGTGGATTTTGGGACTTTATTTACGAAACACAATTCAGGTGACTGCTAGATGACTCTCAGTGACTAAACCAGAGTGGACTCTAGCATCTGCAAGCCTGGCGCTTATATAGCCACATTCGGATAAACATCCGCAGTGAGAACGGGAAAATTTAGCGTATGGCATGACATAAATGAAGCCACAGCACTACGATGATTTCCTTAAATTACACTACCCTTATAACTGTTTCGCTGCTTACACCTTTTTCCGGGAGGCCTTTCCCCGAAGGAAATGTACAGAACATGAATTTGAGCCTTACTTAACTGCAATTAGCGTCTTTCATCATAATCATGTGCGAAGTATGCGTGAATTGTTAATACACAAATCAGTGATGACGGGACATGGAAAAACTGTTTTTAGCTTTTTCCTATATGCAGCAACATTGAGGCTTGCATTATTACACTGTACGTCGAGTTGTCTAATATTTCGCTCAATCTAATTATTATTTCATGTTTCGCTCACCGTTCACCGGCGTAACTGCCATGTGGCGCTACATGAACAAATGCTGACAGATTGTAAATATACTCGCACTGTCTTGACATGTTTTTCATTTTGTTCCGAAATTACCAAAAACAGATACTCGTACATCCGTTGGATTTCTTTTGTTTTTTGGTCGGTAATAGCCAATAAGAAGGTATCTTTATTTCGAATGAATTCAGCATCCTTGCGGGAGTTGAACAAGTACACGAAAGGTCAATGTATTACAAAATATAAGAATATTAATGGCATGCTTAAATCAATTTCAGCAGAATTAAGACGATCAATTTTAGCAGAATTAAGACGATAATTAAGTAAGGCGTGACATAACAACTATGTTTTGCATACTTTATTGGGATTTTGCGGATGCGGCGCAAATGCCCAGTGCCAGCCATTCCACCAGCACTGATTGTAGCCCGCCCATGAACAGCAGTTGGGCGGAGGTGGAGGCGGGGTTGGGCGATTGATTTTTTGTTTCCACCTCGCAGCGTCGCCGGCGGGTAGGTCACCGAAAGGCCGAAATTCCTCGTGCTTTTCTAAATTGGCCATGCCAGCCATCGCTTGTACAAGCAGCTATGAATATACGGATGACATAAGGAGCTAACGCCTTGATATATGATAAACAGTTACTGTTACGCACTAAACACAAAATAAAACCGGCAACGGTGACGGTCCGCGTCGACGACTGCATCTTCCGATTGCGCAGATACAAGGCGGAAGGTCTGTTGTCGTTCAGGGAAAGAATCGTTCCACCTGAGTTAGGAAGCAGTTTATTAAAAAATATGTTCTGGATTGCCGTAGATGTGGAGCAAACGTTCTACAGACACAGACTTTCGACGCCTTACAACTGCGTACCCTAACCAATTAGCTTTACTAAAAGAGTGCATTTGATCCATAAATTCGGATGGGTAATTTAAATTATCTTACCAATAATCCAACAACACGGGTGGCGATTCCAGTGATTAGTTAGGTGGCAAACAAACTGAATATTAAAAATTTCTTGTTGTTGTACAGAAAGTCCTTCAAGTTACAGTAATACAGCAAGGTGATTTTTAAACTAAGTACATGGTCCATAAAATTCAAAAGGGTCGTCAATAATAAAACTTTGAGTTATTTTTAATGCTGTAAAACATTATCGAAATTGGGAGCCTCGGTTTCCTGTTGAAATGCCTTTTTCTTGCTGTTTGTATAAAGCAAAAGAAAATGTAAGCACGCAATGCTAAGGTGCTAACTTATTGCTAAGCAGAAAATACAGTATTATGAGCATGAGTTTGTACTTGTACTTACGAATATTAGTATCAGTACGAAGGCATATCAATATTTAAAAGTAGCAACAGAGAGCCTATAGAATATACAGTACATATGCGCTAATGCGCTCATAAAGCACGGGTTCGATTTCCGGGCACTGCCAAAATATTAAGTGCATTTTATGCGCTACTTCAAGTAAGTACTCGTACATACCGAGTAGTGAGCCAACATCGTACGAGATAGGACAGTACCCAAGTAGTGAGCCCCATTTTCCCATTTGGCCACAAACTGATTGTAACAGTAGAACCAACCTTAACACTTCGTCGACTGGCAGTTTTGAGCAACGAGGTCTACTTTCATGGTGTAAGCCACCAGAAGCGCACGATTGGTCATTAACTTTTTCTGCCCAATGGTGCCTCTTGTTTAAAGGATGTTTGACCAGTTCCATGAAGTGAGAAAACAAGAAACAGAGTAAGACAGGTGCCCCAGATTTACTTGTGATGAAAGGGTAGGGAGACAACATATCACTGCTATCTCTTTCATCAGCCCAGACGACCCGGATCGACCGTATATGAGAACACCGGCTTGCGGTATGCTCACCTGTGCTGCGTCTTCTCGGCTGCTCTAGTTGTCTTCCTTGTATGCCTTTTTGTCGAGCAAGGGAATCATTGGGCAGTCTACTCAAACTTCCCAATGCTTCCCATTGTTTGTTGGGTAACGGCACCACATATATCGCTGAAAATTTGCCAGTTACATTACGAATGCTGTTTAGTACAAGGCTTGATTTCTCGAAACCTTTCATTCACGCAGCAGGACGCTGTGGCCCTTTGAATGCGCATGTCCCAAAAGGATGGTGAGTCACACCATCTCAATTCTGGACTTCCGGTAACACTGAGAAGGTCGAAAACAACACTATCAAAAACTAGACCCGTTTTCATGCACATAGCCAAAAAGTTTTGTTAAAAAATTATTTTTTTGAAATTTATTACTGAATTAATAAGGTCACTTCTGGTGTGAGTAATCGTGCTAGTAGACGAAGTGTTAAGCTGCATCGTATCAGCCAACGTTGTGCGGCGAGGCACCTGATTTCCTGTAGTGTATGCGATGGGAAGCTCAGAAGCTGCACAATTATTCCCTCATAAGTACTCTTACAGATACTCGTACAGATACTCGATGTTGAAATGGATAAACTGGTTGGCAAACTATGTGTCTAGCCGTCATGCAAGTTTCAACAGCGCCTTCCAGCGCAGCCTGAGATCGGCCCAAAGTCCCGACTATTTTGGAACCATCCAGGTTGGGTAGGTCTGATGGAAAACGGCCAGACAATTTATCACTTTTGACGTGTACGGGCGTAGATGTCTTTAACTTGGTTAGACTTCCTAAATCCCGACTATTGTTCTCAGACCCGTACCTGCGCGTACGAAGAGCTAGCTGAGCACTGTAGCGGTGCCCAGGGGCTATATAGAGGCGCTCGGTGCGGGCTATATAAGGCGCTCGTCGCCCATTGTAATCTCAAGAGTTGTAATCCCAACAAAAGTAGAGTCTTGTTACTCGATCTGATTAACTTCAGGCTTTTGCTCTGGTCTTCTCTTTCCAAGTGAGGCTGTTCAAACTGACCTCTGGGTGACCTTTCACCTATTGTCAGGGGTCATTCCTCTACTTCGTCGACGTGCATTATCATCTTCGGATAGTCTCGTGACGTAACAGGCTACCACTTGATCCACTTGCATCCCGTGACCTTTCGGTCTCTTCTTCAGTCTTCATGCCCTGTATCGCCAGGTTGATGGATATTTCTCTTATCGCTTCTGCTACCATCTAGCGTCGGACAGGTAACGTATACTTCTCCGTCGTGTGTGTATTTCTCGTGTTTGCAGGACCCGGACCTCTTCTTCTTTTCCTTTCCTACTTCATACCAGATCAACGTAATCTTCTACCATCTTCCGTAACAGTTTGAGACAGAGTCGCTCTATCCGACTGGACGTGGTCGGACTAGTGGATACAGCACCCACTTCACTGTGTCAGGTATTACATTCACGTCATGGCGCCCACCGATGGTTCTTATTTTCCCGATGTTACGGAAAATTGTAGATGGTACGTTATTTTGTATTTTCTTTTGTAACCGTAAAACGAAAATTGGTCCAGGTCAGAGTAAGGTGTTGTAATCCCACAAACTGACCGAGGTCTCTTCCCTCGCCAAGCCCCGGGCATCTGTCTCTCATCTTTCTCTCTTCGGGTGAAATAATCCCACTTTCTTTTCTGATCAATTGATCTGGTGTGCCCTTAAGGTACTAGTGTCCTTAAGGCACAGGGTGGCTATAGGGGACCGTACAGCATAGGCCTCCCTTGAAGCGAAAGCTGTACTAATAATTCTAAATTAAACTGATTATCAATTGAATATTCTGTGTGATATTTGTGGGCTGTCAAGCCATCCGTGTGTGTGAGTTTGCAGCATCATTTTTAACAGTGAAATTCAGTCAAGTAACGGTACAGTAGCCGAAAAACCACAAAAGGTTAGCTACGATAAATCATCAATTGGACAACTGGGCAACTGAAACCTTGAAGGTCAGTTGTGATCAAGTAAAGTGAACGGCAATATCAGTCAGGAAACGCTGAGTGAAATTTGTTAGTGAAACGTGCGAGAATTTGCAGAAATTTAGTCGTTCTTTAAACTGAAACTTTTCAAAACATTGAACTTTCGTAGTGGAAAAGCCACTACTCTACGATTTTGAACTTTCGTAGTGGAAAAGCCACTACTCTACGATTTTGAAAATTCTCGAATTTCGGTAAAATCAACAGAGCGGATATAGCCGTCTCGTGTTGTGTTAACGCAGTGTCACTGTTAGCTGGAAATCAGCCACAGTGTGTAACTAGCGGTAAAATACGGTAAACAGCTGAAACCTGAAAGGTCAGCTGTGGTAAATTGAAACACAACGAAAATAAGTTGTACATGCATACTTAAGTGTATGCTGTAACAACGTGATACGAAACCAGCGTTAAGCAGTGCTTTTCGTCTGGTGGGTTCAAACGAAACGGTTCTGTCAGTTTTTCTGTCAGCCCGTGGGTTATACAATCTGGGTGATTCGTCATCCAGTGGGAACGGTGCAATTGCTCCTACTTAATCCACTTAGTGGTACGGTAGGTAGCAGAGGCACTGAAACACGAAGCGAAGCTTCTGAAACCTTAAAGGTCAGTAGCGTAAACGAAATAATACGAGCAGCTTTTGCACGCAAAGGTGCGTGTAAAGCGGTAATACGAAACAGATCGTTGCGGTGTACATAAACCACTTAGTGGTACGGTATTTCTGTAATCGATCGGTGGGTAATACAAACTGGTTGAGTAATCAACCAGTTGGAACAGAGCAACTTTTGCTTGCCAAACCCGTTCAAACGGTACGGTGTAGCCGCGGTTGCCTGAACGCAATACAAAATGAGTGAAGCATCAGAAAAAGTCTCGGATGCGACTGATCTGCATGTCGATGTATACAGAGAGAAGCTTAAGGCCAAAATCGCATTGAAACGAAATCTAAATTCGCAGTCACAGAACGCAGCGGTTATGTCAGATTGGTATTCGCGTAATGCCACGGTAATTAGCGGTAGTTCTGGGGAAAATAATGTCCCGTTAGGAGTACTTGTAAATGGTCCTCCCATAGGTGCACAAAACTCGAGCCTTACTTTTCAAAGTATGCAGTCAGCAGGCGGTCAGTCAGTAGTGGCGGTAAATCCATGTAATGTGGTAAACCCGAATTTTTCGGTAAATCCACAATTGGTAACCCCGTCGGTGTCAGTGGTAAATCCGAATCCATCGGTAAATCCACAGCTGGTAAATATGTCAGTGGTAAATCCGATATTATCGGTAAATCCACAAACTGTGAAACCAGGCGAGTTGGTAGGAATGTCGCCAGTAAGCATAAACTGTGGTTGGAGTACATGGCAGTCAGATGTTTTAAGTGGAGGAGCTCATACCCCGAATGCAGTAAGTAATATTTTGGCAACTCCTCAGTTGTCAGTTGGAAGCAGCACATCCGCGCAGGAACATATCGAAGATATGTGGGGAAGAAATAAAATTTTCGCACCAATCAGTGGCACTAAAACCACTGATAGTGGTAGTATTGTAAGATGGGACAGTAATCCAGATACGGAAGGAACGGTAAGCAACCTCTTAATTAATTTTGATGATCAGATCGAACCGGCACAATACTCGAGTCGACCTAATCACAAACAATTGTTTCAAGATGTTCAATTAACTGATGTTCCGTTGGAACCGTATTTCCCAAATCAGTCACAGCTAAGGCAGATTGTTCATGAAAATAATTTTGAACCATTGCGGTTCGAGTTTCTTCAAGAAGTTAGGCAGTTCGAGCAAAGACTTCATAATTTGCAGTCGGAGTATGATCTTGGTCTTGCTGTAAGCGAGAACACTAGCACATTAATTCGTAGTATGAAAGGTTTTATTGCCTCATATCAACAACAGCTCCGAGCTCAGGAGGAAGTGTTTAAATTAAACGAGGTAGTAGGCGGCTTGAATAATGAAAAGGAATTTCTTCAAACAGAATTTAATACTGTGGTGAATGGTCTAAATAATGAAAAAGGTCTGCTTTACGCTGAATTAAATAAAACAAGCCAATTTTTAGTAGCGGCCAGAGCAGACAAGATTTAATTTTTCAAAAAGTGAAGGAGGTATCGAAAAGTAATGCTTCGTTGGAGAAATGTAACAAAGAGCTTGAGCGAGATTTGGTAGAAGCATGTAAAGAATTTTTTGAAAGTGAGTCCGCAAATGAACAGAAATCCCTAGAAATTGCCCAGTTAAGGACAAATCTGGTTCAGGAAAGAGATCTTAGGTGTGTCGCAGAACTTGAACGAGACAGGGCGTTAAAAGCAAGCGAGAGCTGGCAAAATGAATGTGTTCAAAAAGACAGATGTTTAA